ATAGTGTTAGAAGACATGTTATCATTTTATAAGAATACAAGTCAATTCAAAATAGCGTGGCTGTCAAAGAAAAAAAAAATCTTTCAGAGGTATATTCCGTAAATTTCAATCATCTTTATCTTTCAGAGAAAGTGCACTTCGTGCATTAGTAGAGCCAACATAACTTATGCTGTTATCTCAATTTCGTGCCACCCACACTTAATAAAATAGGATCCAGCTTCATATCTACCTCTTACACTTTTCTCATCCTTATGACTTAGCTTACACACTGGACATAATGATGTTTCAATAACTCCATAATAATCAAATTTTTTGTTACTAAATTGTTTATATAAATCTGAATATCGCCACAATATTTTATTATGAAAATAATCACGATCATGAGTCTGTTTCTCGGGTAAGGCTTTCTCAGTAATGGATTCTGAGGCGGATGGTATACATAGCTTGGTCTCCGGTAAAGATTTAACGTCTTCATTTATCGCATCTTCTGAATTGCCAGAGGCAGTCACTTCGTGACTAGAGGTATGCAATGACTGGATAGAGGGGGCGATTACAGTACTTACCTTGGTTCCTGAATCTTTATTTTCCGTATCGCAAGAATTTTGCCGATCACTTCGTGAACTTGGTTCACAAAGTTGGGTGTGTGTTAATACAGAATTTTTCTCATCCTGTAACTCAGCTGGAGGCAGGTTCACACCAATGCTATAATCAAAGGATACATTATCTATAATATACTGAATTTCTTTCTTTGTTAATTTAGATATGCTGTCGGCAGAAAAGGAATGAATGCGATAAATTTTATCCATACCTATTGCATCAAAAAGTTTATAAAGCTTCTTTGCTTTTTCGATTCTCTTACGTAAAAGGCTATCAGAAGTGTCTGCGGGTAACTGTGCTTTCACTTCTTTATTTAAAATTCTACTAACAGTATTGGATTCTGGATCAACTTGTTTTTCCGATGCTATTTCATTACGTCTTTGAATAAGAGCCTTTCCAAATAGGCAATAACACATGATAGCTTCTTGGGTTTTACGATCAGCAAGAATTATAGCATCACAAAGTTTTTCATATAAAAGTGTAAAGTTAGTATTGCTAGGTTGAAATTTTGTTTCATTTGGGGTTGTAGGCTCTTTAGGCCATTGCTCTGCAATAGAAGTCACGTCCCTATCTACATTACAATTAGCTGTGCCTCCTTCGGAGATAATAGAATCGGTATATTGTAATTGTGGACTAGAGTTTTCAGAAACTTCTAACATAAATTTCTGTACTTTGTTTTTATTAGATTGCGAAATATTATCTGAAGATAGGTCTTGAGATCTGAACTTCTTTTCCCGATTTCTTTCTCTTATTTCGTTACTAATCTTTTCCTTATACGTTGAATCCAGAAATTCATCAACCTCCCTATCCTCCAATAATTTAGTTTCTGTGCAGATAGATGACGCAGATTCTGAGCTTTTCTCAATTTCGCTGAGATTAGATGTAACAGAAGTGATATTCACTACCTGTTTAGGGGTATTGTCAAGATCCGTTTCAAAAGAAATACCATTTTGTACCAGATTTGGATCCACAGAGCCTATATAATTTTCTTTATCGGAGTAAGTTTCAATAGTTGAAGCGGATGATTGAGAAATTACAGGTAATTCTGAATAAACTGAGGATGGCGAAATATCTTTTGTGGGAGATGCTTCCTGTTCGTTGGTGATAACCTGGATCCGGTTTTGTTCTAATTTGGCAACTCTGTCTTTAAGCTCAACATTTTCAGCAATAAGGATGGCAGTATCCGTTTTATTTTTTTTCTCTAGCTCTTCCAACC